AGTAAATTCCTATTGTTAAGATATCATTTATTCATCATTTTTTTATATTTTAATTTTTTAAAAGGAAGGCATATATATTGCTGATTCTGTGATTATCATTTACAAGGCTTCACTTTTCTTCTGTGCAAGCCATTCCAAAACTTCTATCGTTAATTTGGGACTTCTTTTAGGTTAGAACAATGCTTCCTCTATTCGGTATATACTGTTGAGGTTATTTTTGGTGAGTCTGTCACTTCCGTTGCAGGCTTACATCACATTCCAGTGATTTTGATAAGGCTTTCTTGAGGCATGTATTATTGACTTGGCCAAAATGGTACTCTTTCTAATTCTTCTTTTCCTTCTCTTTTTGTCATTATGCTTCCTTGACGACCTTCCCACTTTTCTATTTCCCAGGGACCCTGGTGTCTTCTTCTTCCACAGCGAGTACTGGATTCAGGTAAGATTTAATTAGCTTTTCCCTTTTAAGACAATGTCTATCGCATAGCCTAAAAAGAAATATCTCAATTTAGGAATGTTTGTCTTTATTTTGTGCTCCTCTTTCTTAATTCTACTGGTTCTCAATTAACTAACTGTTATGCTTTCTTTAGTTAATTAAGTGTCAGGTACGTGTTAGATTAGTATTAGATACATATTAGATTAGCATCGTTATATATTAGATAAATGCCGTTATGTGTCACTTGCTTCTACTTTATCATATCTATTTATTTATCTATGACCCTCTTCTTTTCGCTTATTGTGACGTTATCCTCGTGATTCACTTCTATAAACTATTCCAGACTTACGACATTTATAACTCTAATTTTAAACTTTAAGATTACTAATTCTACTTATAATTAAACTCCTGATTAAACACAATACACAAAAATCGTGTTTGCAGCCTAATTGGCTTAACTTTTACCCCTAACAATACCAGCAGCCAAATTCTTCGTAGGCATTATTGTAAGAGCAGAATTGGTCATTGCTTCTTGAATTATTGTGAATATAATGATACTTTCATCACTCCTTGAAGATTAAACTTTCCCGTGAGCAATTTCTCAGGGGCAGCAATCAAAGAGCATTTCATTTTTGAATCTTGATTGTCAAACTTGCATAAACAGATAAGGCACATCTCAAAGTTACCACAAATTTATCATATATTGTTCTATCTCAGGAGAAAGATATAGACAAAGAACTAATAGCAGGGAGACACATTGTATGGATGGACCAATGTGGATGCTAAAGTTCATAAGAGTATACTAAAATTAGTACAGTTCTGAGATGTATGAGATCAAGCAAAAGTGGTAATGTGATTTGTTTTGTAAAGGTCAAGTTATTTTATTAATAAAAAGGAAAGTTCAATCTTGTAATTCTAGAAGGAATTGGAGGCATTTATATACATATTTTTGAGTACATAATAGATATAAGTAATAATAGTAATTAAATATATTTTATATTCATTAGAGCAGTTAGTATACTTATAGCAAGTACAGAGAAATACTCTAGTGAAGATATATATGGTAATAAAGATAATAAAGTAATAAAAGATTCTAGAGGTAATATAAGTGATAAAAGTAATAAAGGTAAAGACGAGAAAGATATAGATCAGTAGTACATAGATTATTCTAGAATAGATAATATTATAAGGGTAATTGTTAGTAAAAGTAATACAAGGGCAATGTAAATCTTGAGTGAAAATCATATGTAACAATAGGTTATGGCAAAGAAGATTTATTTTAAAGAATAATAAGGTTGAAAACTTGTATTTTCACATATTGTGGACTGTTTGAGTAATTCAATAAGAATTGAATCTAGATTCCAAGATAACCTGTTTGACTATGATTTTATTAATCTGGTATGGAGTTTTCTTTTGATTTTTGTAATTATCTTTAGTCATAAAATAAAGTTGAAAAAGGGATTGCCAGTGATAAGAAGAGATGTTGAGAAAGATAATGGTTTCTAATTAAGATTCTTGGAATTTACATTAGATGTATATATTGTTTCTTGTATGTTAAAGAAGATATCCTGGTTTTTTTTGGCTAATGAGTTGGTTAATATCAAATTTATATTGTCTGTATATTAACTTGATTCTTTTGTTAACATAGGAGGCAATGATCAAATTGAAGATTTTGTGCACTAAAATGATAACAGCTGAATTGAGGTAGGTATTGAGGCAAAAGTGTTTGATTGTTAAGAGAAGAGCTAGAAATTGGTCTTCTAGAGGTTTGAAGAGTTGAATGTGTAAACCTGTTATATTGATTATTTGGATATAATAGCAATTTTCCATTTTGATATATGTAGTAAAAAGGTTGAGGTGGAGGAGATTGCGATTAGAGGGTTTATTTGAGGGGTATATCTATTAAGATATTGATTATTTTGCTTATTGGATCCAGAATAGTTAATTTTTTTTTGTGCTTGACCCAAATTGATAGAGTTTTAGTTTGAGGAAAAATTGAAAGTTTTGTGTCTATTTCAGATAATGTGTTGCCATTTCTGTCAAATAGTGTACTGGTAATAGATACATTGGATTAGTAGTCAATTTTTGGAAAAAAATATTTATGGGAAAGAGTTTTTTTTATATACTATAAATATCTTTTTAATAATTATTTATATAAATATATAAACTGTAATGATAAACTGTGGGCAATGATCTTTAACTATAAATTCCATAAGTAAATAAATGGTAAAGAGAGCAGCTATTTTTATCTTCAAAATTATATCTAAAGATATAGTTTAAGATGAGTATTCAAGGCAATAGAATAGTTTATGCAATACAATATATCATATATTATTTGTTTTCTATAATGATTCAATAAATATATACACTTGTTTGATTACAAAAAAAAAATTAAATAAATATACAAATAGTATAAAAATAAGAATTGTAATATAGTTAATATTTTTTGGCACATAATTATGAAATTATCTTTAAACAAGTAAAATAATATAAAAGGATACAAAGCTTATTAAGAAAACAATTGATAAAAAAGAATAAATTAAATATATTGATATAATACTAATTAGATTTTTTTTCTTTTTTTATGATTCGTCTTTTATATTAGATTTGATAATAAAATTATAAATATAAAGTATTGGATTTAAAGTGTATATGTACAAGAAAAAATATAAAGAAATTAATAATTATTAAAATTTTAGTTTTATTTTTATTTTACTGTTGACTTTTTAAATTTTTGCCATTGATTTATAAAAATTTTATTTTTAATTTAAAATTTCCATTCAATTAGTTGTTCTAAATCTTGTCAACTAATTATAATTGAAAATTCTGAATTATGAAATTAAATTTAAACTTTCTAACTAATAAGTTAAAATATATTAATTAAAATATAATAAATATAAGAAAGTATGCCCAATGTATTAAAGCATTAAATTCTAAAGGAAATCCTACTATGTATAGATAATTCAAATATTAAGAATTTAATATGTATATTTTTTAGAAAATATAAAATTCATGATAAAAAAATTATTCTGCTCTTTAATAATTTTTGTAAATTGATTGACATCCATTGTGTGATTGGTAAACGGCGAGTCTGCCGCAGCTGAATTCGTGTAACCGTCACTTATTTATTAGTTAAACTCAAAAGAGGCAAATGTAACTTGACCGAATTCCCTGTCATTATTTGATATTTTCTTCTACTTATTATACATGTTTTGACGGACATTTAGATAGAAACTTTTGGAAGTAAAAGAATATATCAGGATTGACGGAAAATCGGGGAGCTATTAAAGGTACATGACTCTTAATTACACAACTTTTTCTTTTTTTTTTTTTACCTCTTAAATCAGTAATTTATGCTAGGGGAGTACAAGTGATTACAATTTCTGTAATATGTGACCGCCGTATATATGAATACAACTTTTATTTGTTCGTCTCTTTTTGAACAGTATTTGACTTATAACTATTTAAGAAAAAAAATTACGGTTATGGTATAAACATGATCTATTATACTGAATCAGCAAAATTTTTCAAAAAAATGCAAATTATCCTTGAACGAAGAATGACGATATTGATTTTTCATACATTACAGTGATACATTTGCTGATGAACATATGTTTTATGCAATGTTAGCATTACGATCAATTGCGTAGGTGTGAAAAATTGGCATTACGTATCATTTCTAAATTTATGATTTTTTATTTATTATTTTAAATTAATTAATCGTATTTGTATGACTTTAATGCATGTAAAATAATTCAATAAAAAACTTTCGTAAACTTAAGTACCGTATCACACCGTCACTTAGTGTCGATTTACTATTGCCGACAAACGTTGCCCTGCTTTGAGGGAAGTAATCCATTAATCAACAACAATAATAACCAAAAAAAAATGTCTATTTAATGTTCGTTATGTGTGCTAATTCCAAAAGATGTTTTACGACAGTTGAGGACAATGACTTTAGTTTGAATCGGTTAGAAATGGAATTGTAGATACAATACCAGTGACAAATTGGCGTTTAGGAATGCTATAATGTACACACTGCATTTGATACAGGCAAAAATTTTGATTGGCCATTTACTTTTTTATTCATATTCGATCGCAGATTTTCATAACTTGTCTTACATACGTATATAATAAGTGCATATTCTATCTTGGCATTCCAAATACGTAAACCCAATTGATTTGAAAATTATAATAAATTACATTAAAATATGAACATTGACAATTTTATGTATTTTCGTATACAAATTTTCCAAACATGCTTTGTCATACGTATGCGATGCAGTACATATTCTATTTTGGCATCCTAAATGAACTGATAAATTTGGAAAGTTATAATAAAATTTGGAAATACTATATACAATTATATTCAAATACAGACATTGAAAATAGAATTTAGAAGTTACTATAAAATTCGTCGTTATCAAACAAAAATGGAAGGAAAGATCAGCATTGCAGACATGCTTACTTGCACAACCGGTTGCTTTTGAAGGTGGATTAAAAACTTCAGAATTTAAAATAATATTTGAATTGGTTTAGCTGAAAAAAAATAAATTGACAAGTTCCCATGAGTGGCGAGAATAAAATCAATTTTACCTCTAGTCCAGAGGAGGATGATCATATTATTCAATATGAAAGGGATACAGTAGAAGATCTAAAAGTCTCAGATTTATTCCATTCTCAACACAAACAAATTATACAGGTCTACCGAGGAAGATGGGCATATTTTTCATACATAATTCGCGCCTTCAATTATATAGGCATTGCAATTTATCTAGACTGGACCATATGTATTAGACATCCGGTCAATTTTATCGTGATAACTCTTAATTTTATCTTTTCTATCATTATTTTATTTGGAGCTGGATTATATCTTTTGATAAAGGAAGATTTTATAAAAGGTTTTCATTTAACTCAGCAAAAAAGATTATATGGATATTGGGGTTCTCTCAAAGAATATCGGGAATATTGGGAAGACTTTAATGAATATGGAGAGTTTAAACGTTGTGAGATTCATCTCTTTGATGAAAGTCGACCAGATTGTCCTAATTGCAAACAATATTACGGTAAGCATGATAAATTTGTACTCTTAGTTATATATGAAAATTATTTATATAAAAAAAAAAAATTCTTTAAAAATCTTTGTCAAAAGCTATATGATAATTTCATTAATTCTAATCATAAAGAAAACTAATACTGTGGAATGTGTATTGCTCATATATTTTTTACTTAGAATATTTTAAAAATTTAAAACACGGAATGAAGCTATTGGGAAAAGGAAAGTGGCATGGATTGTTTACAAGGTTTCGTATTTATATCGAATTTCCTTTCCTTATTTATCTTTATTTTATTAGACAACAAAACAGGTACACTAGGATTTCAATCGCTTTACTTTTCATTGCAATGCTTATATGTCTAATGTGTTCTTATTATTTATTTAGAGCAAGAAAAAAGTACGCCTAATTTTTATCTCATTGCCGAACAATTACAATTGCGAATCTACTTATTTGTTTTTTCTTCATTTAGAACACCTCGAAGATTTAAAAGAGGGCTTACGCTTAGCGTGTAGTGAGTAGGATAATTAACGAACCTTTTGTTATATACTGCATAAGCTTTATTTATCGCGTATATCTTTATTAGGATGCTTTGACAGTTTAGAAGAGGGGATGAATTTGTTGAGTGAGTATTTTATGCGAAACCCTCATCATACAGATGCATATTTGCTTATGTAATTTACATTACTCAGAAAAATACCAAAAATTTAAAATGCATACCGGAGCAATGACTACGGATGCGGTTAAGATCATTGAACAAAGTAAATTAAATTCGTTTATAATTTTATTACCGCTACTTTATTCTATTGTCCGGTATATACTTATTTGCATTTTTTCACTAGATAACAAAAGCGACAAAGAAGGTAGAGTTTTATTTATTATTTTAATGTTTTTTTTTTTTAAAAAAAAAAGGACTATACATAATAATTGGTTAATAAACCGTAATTTGATTAGCAACGGAAGGTATGTATGATTAATTTAATTGTTATTTTTAACAATATGCACTATAATTAGCTTATACCGTATACTATAATATTGTTAGTGAGGAAATGTAAGCATTTCGATGAACCCATTGTTATGTATATATTTGTTGTTGTTACTTATGAATCACTTTTACTCGATTATAAAAGGTATTATATTATACTTCCTATTATTATGTTTATTTCCTTATTTCATTTACCGTTATTATTAATTAATATGCTTATAATTTTATTTAATTTAGATTTTGCCCGAAAATTTGAAAGGAGACATCAATTGTTAGATGGTGAGTATGATAATTTGTTCACGATACTCTTCATATCTGGGTAATTATTTTTGAAAGCGACAAGAATGATAGATATGATTTTTTCGACTCCTGATTTTAAACAATGCGTTTATAATGTAAATTAATTACAGTGTCCGACAAATCCTTGTCCGCCTTCGAAAATATTTACCCATCTGTGTATATTATCTTATGTGTTATTGCATTTATTCAGGACATCTCGAAGATTTCAAAAATAATACGAAAAAATTGAAAAAAAGCAAGTACAGTGTTTAGTGTTCAGAATCCATTTATGTACAATTCCTCCATATATTAACATATACAATACATATTAAATGTTTATCAGAGATAGAAGAAGGTATGATTGTTCCTATTGATATGCTTGTGTCTGTTATATAACAGTTGCTTAGTGTGTTTTTTTCCGAAAAGGTAAATACATAATAACAAATCCATTTCATAAACCTTTGTCATTTACATATACTATTATTACTTTTCATTTAGATCATTTTGCGAATTTACAAAGAGAAGTAAATTTGTTATTCAGTAAGCATAATAAATCTTTCACATGAAAATTCATCTTTCATTTAGAGAAATGAGCATATATTTAAATTTACCCTTTGATAAATTAATATTATGTTTTTAAAATATTGTTTGTTATTAAGCATTTGTTATATATTATTTACTAATACATCTGTCCTTATTTAGGCGAGGATAAATATAACTATTTAAACAACGAAATAGATGAAATAAAACTATTTGGTAATATAAAATATTATAAATGTAAATATACAGTGTAAACATTTTATATTGATGTGTGTTCTTATTTTTAGGAGAGAGAATTGAGTCCATCGGTGAGCATAATAAATATATTATATACTATATATGAAACTCTTCTTATACTCGTCTATCTTTATTTAGAATACAACCCTGATTTGGAAGGTGGATAGTTTAAACAAGATTTTTATAAAAGTGCAGTACAGTATATCGACATGCATTTATTAATATACATTGTCTTAATATTTTTAGGATTGGAGTATATTAGTGGGTATTATAATTATGATTATGTAGCTTTATTATGTATCAATAATATATTTATTAGTCTTTCTAATTTTAATTTAGAATATTTGGATGGTGCGTATTTTAAATAAAACTGTATAATATTAAATTTATAGTAATTTTACCCACATCTTATTTTTATTTAGGAGAAATCATTGATTTAGATGGTGAGTAACCTCATGAAGCTTTTATTATGATTACTATCAATGTGTATCTACTCTTCTCATATTTTATTTACAATCATTTACTTAATCCTTATTATTTAGACAAGAATGAACCAATAGAAAAAACCAAAAGAAAAAAAAGCATTAGTGAGCACTATATATACTTATATATATTATTGATTAGATGTTAATATTTAACACTCGTTCTATTTATTTATTTAGAAAGTCACTTTCATTTTAATCATAAATCGGATAAGAAAACAAGTAAGAAAGGTGAGTGATCATTAAAACCATTTGTAATTATGTAATTATGTATTTACTCGACCATTATATTTTACGTATTAAGCAACTCTCTCTTTTTTGGATGAGAAAGAAAACGAGGAAGGTGAGCGATTTATCAACCATTAATATATCTATATTCATAATGAGATTATAGATTATGTGTTAATATTTAACTGCTCGTTCTATTTTATTTATTTAGAAAGGCACTTTAATTTTACCCATAAACCGAATAAGAAAACAACCAATAAAGGTGAGTGATCATTAAAAACCTCTTGTAATGATGTAAATATGTATTTACTCGACTATTATATTTTATTAAGCAAATCTCTCTTTTTTGGATGAGAAAGAAAACGAGGAAGAAGGTGAGCGATTTATAAACCATTAATATATCTATATTCAGTATGATAGATTATAGATTGTATGTTAATATTTAACTGCTCGTTCTATTTTATTTATTTAGAAAGGCGCTTTAATTTTACCCATAAACCGGATAAGAAAACAACCAAGAAAGGTGAAGACCATTAAAACTTTTGTAATGATATAAATATGTATTTACTCGATCATTATATTTTTTATTAAGTAAATCTCTCTTTTTTGGATGAGAAAGAAAACGAGCAAGAAGGTGAGCAATTCATTAACCATAAATATATCTATATTTAGTATGTTCTCATTCATTGTGTTTATTCAGGAAATAAAAATGAGAAAGAAGATAAAACAGAAAGTAATGGGACCTTGTTATTATAATATATTATATAAAGAATATATAATTATCTAAGATATTTTTTTAAAAGATATAGCTAATTCGAATAAGAAAGAAAACAAAGCAGAAGGTGGGTGGATTACACAGGCTTTTTTTATATAATATATTTATTCAGAAAATGTCACCAATTCGAATGAGAATATAAACAAAACTGAAGGTGAATCTTACATAATCTATTAACTTGTAGATGCTTGTCCTTTTTATTTTTTTTTTATTCATTTAATTCATTCTTTGTTGCAATTTAGGCGTAAATAAATCTGATTTTGTAGGAATAATAAAAAAATTGGGTGAGAACATGCATATGTGGAATAATTCGTTTATATCAATATTTATTTACTCGTTTATCATATTTTTAGGGGAGAAGTCCAGTAAGCACAATAAAATGTATAGCAACTTTATTGTATATAGATTATTTAGCTTATTACCTTATTTTTATTTAGGAATGTCCATTTATTTTACCAGAACAATCTCAACAGGCGGTAAGTAGTTTACATAAAACTTTATTGAAATTTATCGATATTTTATATTTATTTAGAAAACACCTTTCCCGTTTTAATGAAAAAGAATTAAAACGGAAGGGTATCTCACATAAAACTACTAATATGACACACATATAAATATTTATTCGTTCATTGTATCTTATATAGGGAATGTCTCCAATTTAGATGAGAAAGAAACTAAAACAGAAGGTAAGCGGCTTACATAAAATTATTTGTATACATGTATTTACACGCTTATTATATTTTATTCAGGAAGCTTTAATGAGAAAGAATACCGAACAACAGGTGAGTAGCTTCCACAAAACTATTGATATACAGTGTGTCGATATATATTTACTTTTCCATATATTTTATTTCAGGAAATGTCTCTAATTCAAACGAGAACAAAAACCAAGCAGGTGGTAAACTTTAATTATAATAAATGGTATAGAAATAATTACTAATATCCTGTATTTTTTATTCAGAAAATACCACTAATTTGAATGAGAAAAAAAACCCAACAGAAGGTGAGTAGTTTACATGAAAAGTTATTGTTATATGTATAGTATTTATTAATCTAATATATTTATATTATCTCTTTCAGAAAATACAGCTAATTCGAATGAGAAAAAAAACCAAATAGGTGGGTAGCTTACACAAAACTTCCTTTATAATATAGTAAATATAACTTATTCATCTATTATATTTATTTTAGAAATTATTCAAGATTCGGAAGGTGAGAAGCTTACATAAAACAATTATTATATCAGATTAAATACTGTATAAGCAACCACGATTTAGAATGTTAGTGGCTTATATTTATCCTTAATTATAATGTATTAATATATATTTGCTCGTTATTTTATTTTTATTTAGTAAAAACTCTTGATTCGGAAGGTTAGTACTTGTATAAAAACTTTATTACTGTATAGCATATTAATACATACGTACTCTTCTATTTTTTTATTTAGAAAACACACTTGATTCTGAAGGTGGGTTGCTTATTAAAACCTTTAATTGTAATATATTGGTTAAATTGTTTTTACTCATCTTATTTGTATCTAAAAAACATCTCTAATATTGAAGGTAAGTAACATACATACATAAAGTTTTTTATTATAATATAACAATATATTCCTCGTTTATCTTGTTTTTATTTAGATAATTCGGACGGTGAGTGGCTTACCTGTAACTTTAATCATAATATGCACATATATTAAATCGTTTATATTATTTTTTTATCTAGAAAGCACCCTTGATTTTGAAGGTCGGTAGCTTTCCGAAAATTTTGTAATATGATGATAAATATTTATTTATATATTTTATTAATTATAGATTTAGAAAGAATTCGTTACGAATACAATTTTTTAAAGAATAGTAAGCATAACAATATATATGTTTGAACTTATACCATTTACTGGCATATAATTGATCGGATTTATTTTGTTTAGAAATCGCAAAAGGTATATAACGATTTGATATTCATTGAATTGTTCATTACCAATAATTCTATATTAAATATGCATTTACTAATTTGTATCTTATGAAAAGGTAATTAAATATTATTATTATTATTAATATTATTATATGCTCTAACTTATACATTATTTTATTAGATTTTCATGAAAAATTTAAAGAAGAAATTAATTCGTTGAATAGTTGAGTCGTACTAATAATTTTATGAGGAATTCTTAACCAAATAATATTTACCTATTTGTATTATTTTATTTTAGGATGTATCAAAAATATAAAAAAAGGCATCGAGTTATGGGGTATTATACCATATATCTATTTATACCATATCTTACTAATGTATATTTACTTACGTACGTGTCTTATATTCAACTAGAACGTTCCGATTTACCCAACAAGAATGGTATTGCAAATTATTTTATATAAATCAATTACCACTACGTCTATTTTATCTTGTATCATTTTTTAGGATGGCTTGATACTTTAGAAAATGGAATTATAGAATTATCATGTGAGTATGATTAATTAATTCTATCCCTTATTACACAATGTTTTGATTTTGTTATTGTTATTTCTAGGTTGTTGCGAAATTTTGGAGCAGAATTTAATAAATGGTGAATATGATAAATTTATTTTTGTAAAACATTTGACATGCCATTTACTTGTAACAATATATTAATTACTCGCAAATAATGTACACCTTTATCAGTGGAAGATAAAAGTATATAACCATTTATTATTTGATTATTATTTGTTGCGAATATGTGATTATTCATGCAATTGTTTTTATTAGATAATAAAGAAGGTATTTGGCTATCTATTATTCGTTACCTGTATGGGATATTTCTTTGACTATATAGTTTATATTCATTAGAGGAAAACAAAGGTAATGTATAAGACTTTTATTATTTTATGCAAGTTATTTATTATCTCTTATTTACGTGTTTTATTTATTTGTTAGAATATCTTGAGAAGCTAAAAGAAAAAATTTATGGTAAGACAAGTTTGTTAATATGCGTCCATTATTAGATAGATTGTTCGCAAATCTCTATCACATATTGTATATGTTACCTAATCGTTATTTTTATCATTCCAGGTTGTTTCGAAAGCTTGTTGCGAAAATTGTTTAAAGGTGATATTAATAAAGCTTTCTATATTAAACCTTTGATATTGTATTAATTATTTGTGAATTTTACTTTTCTCACTCATGGATGTTATACATTGATGGCATTTCTGACTGTTGTCTTTATTTAGAACATCTCAATAAGCTAGATAAAAAAATCGACGGTGAGATACAAAACTTGATAAAATAAATTTTATTCATATCAAAGCATTTTATAAAATATAATATGTTTGATTATTTATTTCTAGATCGTCTCAAAAAAATCGATGGTACGATAAATACATTATGTTAAAACGAAAACCCGGTCATTTTATTTACTTAAATGTTATCTTCATTTTTAGGTCGTCTCAAAGAGCTAAAAAAAGAAAATAACGGTACTTAAATTACACTTATTAAATAAGCTTATTCGTATTAACGCTGTATTACTGTACTCAGGGCTTATTTACGTGGTCATGTATCGTTTTTAGGTCATCGAAAAATCTTGATGCATAATTTATCTTATTTAAAAAATCTTGAAAAACTAAGGGATATAATTGATGGTATAATAAATTAAATTATACAAACCCTTTATTTAATAAATTAATACACACCAAGAACTCATAGATTCCATGTATTTTACTTAACATTTATTTTATTTTAGGTTATTCCAAAATCTTGGAGCAAGATTCATCGAATAGTAATTATGAAAATTTGTTTATATGAAATATTTAATATAATTTATCATTTATTAACTGTTGAAATATATTGATATTACCCACGTCGATCAGCGGAAATCAAAGGTATATAATTGTTTCCTATTCTATTGTTTCTGTTGTCACATATTTTAATACAAATCATTTATAAAGTACATCTACTTACATATTTTTATTGTGATTTCTAGGTTGTCTCGAAGGAATTAATGGTACTATAAATATAAATATATTGATACAAAATCATCATTATTCACGCAAAAATATTTTACTTCATATTGTGTGCATTTACTAAATTATTATTGTAATCTTTTTCTAGGTCTTCTAAAGAATGAGAAAGATAGTACGATAATTTCGTTTTTATATAGGTTTATTATTTCAAAAATCTATTTTTTGTAGTATGTATTACTTAATCATTTTCATTATCATTTATAGATTGCATCAAGCAGTTACAGAAAATGTTTTATGGTATAATAAGTTTATTATACCAAATAAATAATGCGCAGTAATTTTTATTTGTATTTAAATAAACCCAATTAATTTTATTGTCGTTTATAGGTTGCCTCAGAGGACTAAATACAAAAATTGATGGTAAAAACGATTTATTATATAAATTCAATTTTATAAGTTATGTTGTTACATAGTGCATATATTTACATGTTATTTTTATTTAAGCTTATCTCAAAATATTGAAAAATTCATCTAACGGTAAATTTGATAAATATACTTTTATAATTTCTGGACATTGCCCGTTATAAATTATTGACTATTTTTGTTAAACTACCCACCCTTACTGGCGGAAGATAAAGGTAAAAAATTATTTCATTTATTGTTTCTTTTTGAAATGCATAACTACTTATGTATTTGTCTTTTATTAGATATTAAAAAAGGTTTGGTTATTAATTTTCGCTACCCGTCATAATGTTACTTTGTTCATGTATTTATTTTTTAATAGGAAAAAGTAAAGGTAAGGTATTAGAGCTACCATAATCATATTACATTATTTTAATTTTTTTGTTTAATCTCCAATTACATTATTTAGACCCTCTCGAAAATCTAAAGGAAAAAATTTATGGTACGATGAATTTATTTTATAAACCATTATTCACATAATTTATTTGTATTATATTTATTAGAAACAATATACATTTATTTGTCCTTTATTATTGTTATTTTAGGTTATATCGAAGGGCTAAAAAAAATATTTGATGGTGTGATTATTTTTCATTGCAAAAACCCTTATTATATAAATTTGTTTGTCACCAAATACAGTATTGTTTATAATATGTACATGTATTTTCAGTACTAATAATTGCTATTGTCATCTATAGAACGTCTCGAAATTCTAAAGAAAGATGTTAATGGCAAGAAAAGTTTACCACATCATACCTTTGTTAGATTTATTAATGACATGCATTGTATTTACTTCGTCATTATTATCTATTTTTATAGGTCGTCTAAAGGTTCCAAATAAAGAAATGGATGGTAAGTTAAAATGTCAATAAGAACTTTTTTATTATTATATTGCATATACTTAATAATTGCTATTGAAATTTATAGGTTGTCTTAAAGATATAAAGAAAGAAATTGATGGTAAAATGAATTTGTTATATAATTATTGCATATGCAATATTATATTATCTATTTAACTTATTATAATATTGTAATCTCTAGGTTATTATAGAATATTGGAGCAAGATTCAACAGTAATTGATGGTACAAGACCATTCTAATTTACTATTACTCGTTACAGAAATTTGACTTCTTGTGTATTTTGTCTTTTATTAAGTATTACTACTTATTTTTGTTTTCTGACATTAAAATTTATATTTGTTATGATTATTTATCCTTACCAGAGAAAATCAAAGGTAGGCATAAGACTGTTCTTTATTTATTATGCGTTATCTCATGAATATTTTAATATTCATCTTTTATTTTATCTAGAATGCCATGAAAATCTTAAGGGAGAAATTGATGGTACGACAAATTAATTAATAAATCGATTAGGAATTAAATTATTGATTCAAATACTTTATTGCATTAGTAATACATGTGTTTACTTAATTATTGTCATTAATATTTATTAGGTATCATCAAGGGGCTAAAAAAAGAAATTAATGGTACAATTAATTTTTTGAATACAAATTTCTTTATTATATAATATATCCATATCAAAATTTTATAAAATATAGCACGCACTTAACCATTGTTTTTATTTCTAGGAATTTATGCTAAAATCTTGGCGCAAAATTTATCGTATTCAAAATATATTGAAAATATATATGAAAAAATCGATGGTGTGTCCTTATAAATTAATCAATATTAAGCAACTTATCTAATGTATATGTGTTTGCATAATATTGATATTTGGTATTTCTAGGTTATCTCAAAATGCCACCGCAAAATTTATCGAATGGTAAGTCTGTTTTTATGAAGCCTTTTATTTAAAATATTATATATTGCTATTTAATTACTGAATAATAATTGATTTTACTACCAGAATTTGAAGGTATATGACTATTTATTTATTTTATTATAGCTCGTTGTGAACATGAGTTATTTAGTCATTTTTGTCTTGCGATTTATTTACAATGTCTTGTGTTCATTGCTTTATGTATTTTTTTTTATTTTTTTTAGAATATTCTGAGAATTCAAAGGAAAAAATGGATGGTACTGAAGTTGTTAATATAAAACTTTGTTATATCAATTACTTTATTGAATAAATATATATATTACATTATGCCTATAGGTGACCTCAAAGAGATAAAAGAAATGATTAATGGTACGGTAAATTAAATACAAAACTCTATAATACACTATATATTCGTATAAAACACTATGTATATATTTTTTTATTAATAATTGCTGTCGTTATCTCTAGGTCGTCTCAAAATGCTAAAGAAAGAATTTGACGGTGATATAAATTTATTAATACGAAATTTGTTTATTTAAAAACATATAGTGAGTATTTACTTACCATTCGTACTAACTTATAGCTTATCAAAAAACCTCGAAACAAAAGTCATTAAATGTAAGATATCTAGAAGCGATAAAGGGGATAATTAATGGTACGATAATTTATTAAGCGAAATCTTTGTTGGAAAACTTATTTATATAAACGCTAATAAATATATTGTGTTTTTAATTAATTATTTCCATTATTATTAGGTTGTCTTGAAAAGCTAAAGAAAAAAATATATGGTGCGATAATACCATTGACCAATTTGTTCATACAAAACAGTTTTATTACATCTACTGTAATATGTATTGATTAATATTATTATCATTATACTAGATTACCCTAAAATCCTGGAGAAAAATGGTATGACAAAGCAGTTTATATAAAACCTTTAATTCAGGGATTGTTATGTATCAACTGTTGCAAAATCTCAAAATCTCGTATATTTACATATTTTATTAGCGGAAGATAAAGGTATATGATCATCTCATTGTATTACTCGAAATATATCATGGAGACTTATATATTTTATCTCTAATAGATAATGAAAAAGGTATTTTCTATTTATTATTTTCCGCATGTTACATTATAAAAACTTAGCTTATGTATTTACCTTATTAGGGGAAAGTATAGGTATATTATAAGACTGCATATTACTATGCATTATATGCAGTAATTTTTATTGCATTTTTGCTTACTACGTTTAATACTTGTATTGTATATTATTTACTTGGCCATTTTGTTAAAAGATAAAGGCATGAAATTATTTTTATCATATGACCCTTGTTGTATATATGCATGTATTTATGCGTCGCGAATTATTTAGAACAACTCGAATTTGGAAGGAATGGAACGAAGTTACTAGACGGTATTATAAATATGTTTTTATAAAAAAATTTTATTGTACAACGCTATATATTTATTTATGTTCTTATTTTCTGTAGTACAAATATCGGGTATAAAGCAGTTTCCATCATGGTAACT